CCATATTTTGAATTGACGAAAAACCTTTTCAGTGTAGTTCTGTTATTGCATTATTTTCTGTGTCAGTCTGAGCTCTCTTGTTATATTGTTTGTATACTCATTTGATGGCATACTCTTCCAAAAAAAAAACTCCTTGGCTTGAGTCCGCAAGCGAACTATACCGACCGAGTGACCGCCTATTGTCGGCGAGGTTAGTACCAACTTTAGTGGATAGAGGGTGTCGAGTGGTCAGCGCAACGGATCCCCACGGCCGTTAATTTTTTTTTCCAGACCGGAGCCGCTATTTCCTTTAAACATCTCCTCATTTATCCTCACGAGGCTGAGTGGAACCCGTTCCAGACCTACTACTTCTCACAAAAATCACGTAGCGCCGAGAATCGAACCCGCGACATCTGGATCTGTAGCCAGGAATTCTGACCACTAGACCACAGAGGCAGTCTGATTACGACGAAACACAATTAAAATAAACTGCGACCAGCGAATACAATATTATAGAACTCTTTGATGTATATTCGCTACAAATCAGTTTATAAAACAGTTGACACTTGTAAGGGACGAAAGGGAAGTATTCTTGATATGTTTTAATGTTTCTTCTACATACTTCTGGAGAACTGAGGCAAAATAGCGCAACTTATAAACTCAGAGCGGGCAGTGTGATCTCAACCTTATCGAACCGTCAGTCGCTTGGCCTCAACTGAATTTCGAATGATGCATATTGTTTAATTTCCCCGAAGACATCTTTTATTGTTGAAACTCAATGAAACCCAATTGGAGACTTTGCCAAACCGTATTGTTTCTGAAACATTAATCTGGCGACATGCTTGTTTCTCTCGTGTCCCCCATTGCGACATATTTCCAGGGATGGAAATGGCGTTTCACTTGAAGGTGGGCCGTGCAACAGCTCAGGCTGTTAGTCGCCAGTTTCCCACTGTGGCTACCCGTGTTCGATCCCAGGTAACCCCACACGGGATAGGTTTGTAAGTTCTGTCGTTTTCCTCTGCCAATTCTCTCTACACCAACTACTCCACATTAATCAGCAATCCTCTGATGGACATTACTATGTCCCAACATTAGCAGTACCGTTTATTAACGAATTTATTAACGAACTCAGAACCGGGTAGTTTTCGAGCATCAGATGAAAAGCATAAGAAGGGATGATGACGTTGTAAAGAGACACACATCATACCGAGCATTGAACCTAGGCTAATTCCACGATATGCGCTGGCCACTCAGTAAGCATAAGACTGGAGTGAGCGTAAAATCTCATGCTGCCTCAGTTCCCGCGGTAAAGTTGTCCCTGTGCTCGACAAATTAAGCACTACACCATGAAGGCGTATGGGTGAGTGGATGTATAGATCCACATTTTGTTAACCACGGTACTAGCTGGAGGTGAGCGGTCAGCTTCACGTCCCGGCCGCTTTACCCCCGGGGAAAAAACCCACGGTATCCATTGGGTAGGAGGTTGGGCGAACCCCAAAGCCGGTTTTGACGATTTGGAGGAGAGAAAATCCTTGACCCTACCGAGACTCGAACTCCGAACCCTCAGCCATCCAGTCAGTAGCCAGTCGCTATACCGACTACGCTACTCCGACTCGCGATTAGGTTTAGCGTTTTCTTTTCTTATTCCTTTAGTCTTCCTTCTCTCTTCCTATTTTTTATGTAATTAAAAATACAGTGTAAGTCTTACTTGTATTTGTACTCAATATATATACATTATACACATACGAGTATGTTACATGTTATATACAAATGGAGAATACATGATAACGTAGTTGGTCGAGGCAGTGCGTTACAAACTTAAAGGTCGTGGGTTCGAATTCCGATCAGGTCACTGGATTTTTCAATTTACCTAATCCTTCCAGCCATACTAAGGCCCTGGGTTCGACTCAGCCTCTAACAGAAACGAGTACCAGGAATCTTCCTGGACGTGAATCGCTGCCGGCGCGTAAGGCTGACAACTTAACCGCCATCTGTGAGCCGATTGTGTAGAGAGAATGTGGGAACCTCGACGTCTCACAACCCCATTGGCCTTCAGGGTCTGTTACAGAGATAGCTTTTATATGTACGATCGAAAATCCAAACACATCAGTAATTTAACTAGCTCATATTATCGAGGCTGTCCCGTGTTGTAGTACACAATTTGTGAAACTCGAACGCACAGCTGAGCTATCATAAAGTAAATAAAACTGAAAATATATCACCCCTCACTCAAATGCAATTGCTTGTCGCTACCATGTCTGCAGTTATGACACACACGAAGTTATGCACCCCTTGCTCTCACGATGCCATTGTCTTCTCGTTACTACGAAACGTGCGTAGCTTATGGAATAGCTATTGGCACGATCTCGGGGTCGTCCTTGTGGAGAAAGTAATGGGCAAATGAGTTGGCTTGGACTCCGACTCAAACGCATGCGTGTAGCAGCATAATTAACAACTTTACCGGGGCTGACTCTACAAAATTAATATCTTCTGTCTTTACCAGTTTTCTGTACGACGGACCGTTTCAGAGAAACAGGGTGCTAGAGTCAGGCGCAGTTTGGTTAATATATGGTGCTTAATTATGCATAAGGACAACTTCACCTTTGTCCTATATGCTCTTTGATGCTGTGAAATCTCATGAGCAGGCTATTCGTTTATCAGAATATCACAGGAATTACTACGGAGGTGTCTGTCTGTATCCGTCACATTGTGCTCCTTTTGAATCATTTCTGGGCTACTTTCCTTATTTTGATAAATAAAACTATGCTTATGCGATTACATTGCTGTCTGTATGTTAGTTTATCACCTATCAACTTTTGTATGCCTGAACCAACCTTTATGAAATTTGGTATGTATATTGTAGCATGCAGACTCGTTGCTAGACAACGACAGCGATATAAGCAACTATACAACAGCCTTTGCTAGGCAACGGCTCCACAAACAGATACGAACGCAACAGTTGCATTGCAACAGAGGAACAGTGTCTTCTGTGTTTTTCGATTTGCGTGTTGCATATTATACCACTCTGGCCCTTCTTAATTTCCTCACGTTAATAATATCAGCTGTTGGTCTATGCTGATAACATGAATCTACTGGGTGATAATATAGATACCATAAAGAAAACCACACAGACTTGACTGCCGCTAGTACGGAGGGTTTTCGAGAAAGAAACACAAAGAAAACAAAGTGTATGTTGCTGTCTCGTCACCAGAGTGCAGGGTAAAATCAGGACATAAAAATAGGTAACAGATGTTTTGTAAATGTGGCACATTTCAGATGTTTCGGAATCACAATAAAAAACCAAAACCTGATTGAGGAGGAAACTAAGAGGAGATTGAACTCGGATAATGCTTGCTATCATTCAGTCCAGAACCTTTTGTATTCTCGTCTGCTGTCCAAAAACATAAAAACTAGAATATACAAAACTATAATTCTGCCTGTGGTTCTGTATGGGTGTGAGACTTGCTCTCTGACATTAAGGGAGGAACAAAGACTGAGAGTGTTTGAGAACAGGGTGTTGAGGAGAATATTTGGACCAAAGAGAGATGAAGTGACAGGAGACTGGAGAAAACTGCATAATGAGGAGCTTCATAACTTGTACTCTTCTCCAAGTATAATTAGAATGATCAAGTCAAGGAGGATGAGGTGGGCAGGTCATGTAGCACGAATGGGGGTGAAGTGGAATGAGTATAGGATATTGGTGGGAAAGCCAGATGGAAAGATACAACTGGAGAGAAAGACGTAGGTGAGTGAACAATATTAAAATGGATTGATCTGACTCAGGATAGGGACCAGTTGAGGTCTCTTGTGAATATGGTAATGAACCTTCAGGCTTCCATAAAATTCTCTGAATTTGAGTGCGTAACTCCATATGTTACAGGTGGTGAGTAGAAACCAGAAGTCCCTCGTTATGTAATTTTTTTATTGCTAGTGGGGTGGGACTAAGTCCCTTGTACTGCGGCCACTTCTGGCCTATTGTACCGGCCCCAGATGATAGGTGAGGGTGATTGTGGAGCAATTGGTGGAATGAAGATTGGCAGGGGAAACCGAAGTACTCTGAGAAAACCTGCCCCAGCGCCACTTTGTCCACCACAAATCCCACTTGACCAGACCCGGGATCGAACCCGGGCAGCCGCTCGTTATGTAATTTTCTCCATTTCTTTTTCGGCTCATTTTAGAGGTCAAAACTGGAAATGGCACCTTGTGTATTCAGTAGAGCTATGTTAACTTATTCCACGGACCAGAATCCTTCTTTAGAAGCTAAAGAGTTGCTACGTAGTCAGGAAATTCTTCGTCTCTTATAAATCTGGATGGTTCATGATCATTTTCACAGAAGTAGACAGTTTGAAGCTATTCCAAGCCAGTTTAAAACCTTCCATTATTTAACCTGAATCCAATACGTATATCCTCTTTGGATGCATTTTACTATTATCCTCCTATCTAAACCTAGTCTGTTAATAAATCTCTTCCGTTAGGATTTTCCTGTCAAAAATGTGCATATATTTCTTAGTTTCACATGCATGTTACTCATTGCCTAGTTGATCCCTTTTTATTTAATTCTCTTGTAGGGTCATAATTTTTATGTATTCACAGCGTCGATTGTTCTGACTAAGGTACTCTGTGCAGTCTTGTAGTCGGTTACCGTTAAAACCTGAAGATGGAAACAGCATAGTCCTCCGAAACATCAGTATCAGTCTACAAGACTGCACAGTGTCTTAACCCAATTTTATTTATTTCTCTGTCCGTGAGGTACAGGCACATACTTCGCAGTTGATACAATACAATTAAATAAACAAAGGCGCAAACACGAGTGTGCCTTATGAAGATATAACACTTAAAAGAGCGGGTCTGTTTTACTTTCATGTTATCTGTTTTCATACGAAACTCAGCAGCCTGGCCTGTCCCAGACGAAGTGAAGCGAAGGGGGAGGTGCGCAGGCGTGGTTTGTTAAGGGTTATAGTTCTCACCACCACACCACCACCACCTTCACCACCATCATGCAGAGTGGAGAAGTAATTCGGCCTTACAAAGAGGCAGGTGTCTGGTGATGTTATTGTGGTCATGTGACGTGCTGGTGGCGTGGAGTGAGACACTTGAAAAAGCAACGGTCATTCCGCTAACAGCATATCCGAATGAGTGATGCGTGGCACTACTTGAGAGGGGCTAGGAACTCGTAAAACTGTCAACAGATTTCTAGTGAAATTCATCGCATCAGCTGCCATTCCAGTAAATATGAATTTCTATACTAATCTCATAGCTTTGATTTTTAGTTATAGGAAATGTTACATTGTGTTGCGCAAGATCCTGTTTGTACCAACTAAGTGAAGCACTATGACATGAAAAATATCCAGATACAATAAACATAATTTAATAGGAAATGCAAGTGTAACGTGACAATTCTGACGCTTTCGCTCATTTTAATCCACTTTCCTTATTCTGAAAAAAAAAAGAGGCTTCTAATATCACCGTGCTGTTTGTGTGTCTGTGTCTCCCTCTTAATTTCTTCGTTTCCTGTGCGGTCCGTGTCGTATCAAAGGCAAGTAGGCGGTTAGTTCTTCCCATAACTAAAAAATATGTTCCACTTATGGAAACGGGTAACTGAACACAAAATATATGCTCGTTTTCTAAAGTTTTAATTAGAATCATTAGAAACGTTTTTCATTTTGATAAGTATTTAACAAGTTAGGTTGAGATGAGCGCAGAAACGCATATTGGTCGACGTGTAAAGTGTTTAATTCCAACCATAATTAGAGTGTGAAATGTTCCTACATAGTTCCCTTATAAGAAATTTCACGAATTTACGTTCATATCATCTCGAGTTTTTACATGAAAACAGGAAGACAAGGAGAGAAATGTAGAGGTGCTAAAGGGCGCATTTTGTATGCTGTCTTCGCTCGCTCGGAAGCCGGGATCGTGGGTTCGAATCCCACTCAGGGCATGGATGTTTAGTTTGTGTGTGTGCGTTTTTCTGTGTTTGTGTACCTGTAGAGGCCTTGCGACGAGCTGATCACCCGCCCAAGGAGTCCTACCGAATGTGTAAGATCTAGTAAAACCGAAGTGAACGGAGAAATTCATGGAGGTAGGCCTAGGCCCACTGGGGCTGTAGTGCCAAGGAAAAAAAGGGCGCATTTTAGCAAATTTTCATTGCAAATAAGCGAAATAATGTAATTTATGAACAGTTCAAGATGAATTACTCATAAAATAATAAAACTTACAGTTCAATGAACAACAGTACAAAAATTAATTAAGAACGAAACAAAAGTAAACGTCATCACACGCGTGAATTCTATACGTGTATGTTTCCTGTTCATTTCTTATAGGCACGTGGATTTAATTTTATCGTATTAAAACACTTTGACAGGTCTTACAAATGCCACTGTCATGAGTTAGGGTAAGCGCCCTTTTCTTCAGAACTGAACTGTGGAATTTGTAAAGGGAAAAGTGGCACTGGAGCGGGTTTTCTCCGACTACCTGTTTCCCCTGCCAGTGTTCATTTCACATGCTGCTTCACATTCTCTAACCATCTTATTATCGGCGCTATATAGTCTCGGCACTGACGACATCCTTAAGTAGTCAACTTAAAAATATTTAAAACAATATTTTAATAAGAAACCCTGGAAGGAAAGGATCCTTGGGGAGACCAAGACTCAAAATGGTTCGTATTAAATTGGACGTACATACGTTGTGAGAATATTAACCGGATTAATATGGTTCTATATAGGGACCCGTGGACTACAGTAATGAAGTACTTTCCAATTGCATAAAATGCATGGGATTTCTCGACTAGCTGAGAGATTTTCAGCTTCTAAAAAGGGAGTTAACAAATTGACCCATAAGTTTAAATACTGATTTTAGGCTTTCGCGGTGGTTAATTAACTGAAACTGACTCCATGGAGCTGAGCCCCACTTGAGAAGCCGCCAGTTCTGGAGCTCCTCAAGGACTTCCACTGCTCCCTATCCTGACCCCAATTAAGCCAGTCCATACCACCCGATCCTGTCTCTCTAAGGTCTATTTTAATAATATCCACCCATCTACGTATTGGTTTTCCTAGTAGTCTTTTTCCTTCTGGCTTTCCCACCAATATCTTATTTGCATTTCTCTTCTCCCCCATTCGTGCTACATGCCATACCCATCTCATCCTCCTTGACTTGATCATTCTAATTTTACTTGGCGAAGAATATAAGTTATAAAGCTTCTTTTGCGGCTTTCCACAACCTTAATTATTGGTGTTAAATCCCTACTTCGGTTGTTAACATCTTGTGGTTGTGGGGAATGTTACCAGCGTTTTAGAGGTACATAGGGATCTTCAGGCGACATGTTCCTCTGCAATGTCGGTTGGCTGTCGACGGGCTGTACGACTTACATCCCAGAGGATAGAACTCTTCAATTATTTTTTATTGGTAATTTGGTGGGACTAAGTCCCTTGTATTGCGGCCACTTCTGGCCTATTGTACCAGCCCCAGATGATAGGTGAAGATGATTGTGGAGCAATTGGTAGAATGAAAATTGGCAGGGGAAACCGATGTACTCGGAGAAAACCTGCCCCAGGGCCACTTTGTCCACCATAAATCCCACTTAACCAGACCCGGGATCGAACCCTGGTTCCTTTATACTGTTACATGTATACCCATTGCTAGGCAATTGGTTTGTAAACAAGTTCCCGCGAAGACAGATTCTTGGTAAACAGTTGCCAGGTTACGCTACAGTAGAGGAGGCTGTGTTTTCTCTGTCGTCGGCGTCACGCCCAGCGCTGATAGCGGACTAATGAACTCACAGTCTGACACGCGACAAATGTTTTCTGTGCCGTGCCGAATTATAAGAGGTTCCAGGATGATTGAAAAAGAAAGAATACACACAGTGGACTTATTAATACAGACTGACTGACAAATGACANATGAACTGTAAATTGTGTAAATCAGCGATAGCGCTGTAATAAGTGTAATTAAGAGAACTTGTACCCGAAGTGCTAATAAATCCAATCATCCGTTCTAGAACCCAATATTTTCGTCATGCGCACCCCCTACACATATTGTTACTGTATCGGTGAGAAGAATTACGTAAATCAAACTGCCTTTTTATATGGTAGAACCCCTAGATCGATTAATTTTCCNAAGGAAGGCAAGAAAACTTAATAGTGATTTGAAGTTGAGATCCGTTGCTAGGAGACGACTAGTGGAAAATAAGAATCCTAGTGCATATGCAACGGAGAGCTGTAAATTGTGTAAAGCAGCGATAGCGCTGTAATAAGTGTAATTATGAGAACTTGTAACCGAAGTGCCAGTAAATCCAATCATCCGATCTACAACCCGTTATTTTCGTCATGCGCACCCCCTACACATATTGTTACTGTATCGGTGAGAAGAATTACGTAAATCAAACTGCCTTTTTATATGGTAGAACCCCTAGATCGATTAATTTTCCAACACTTCTTGCAGTTTCCTTACCTCTATACCTACACATTTTAATTTCATGTTTCAGGTGTGACAGAGGGTTACGAAATATCAATGTTAATGTAGACGAAAATTTAGCTGCTGCTACAGATAACTCATGTGTATGTGGCAAAAAGACTTAAAAGAACTAATAATCTTTTTTTTCTTTAGGATTAATTGTGGTTTTTAATTTAATATTCCTTCGAAAAGTGTTATTATCACTCTTAAGTATTTATTATTAAAGTTCTTTAGTGGTTCTCGACTGCAGCTGTAAGAGAAATATTCTTATATTTAAGAGAGACTTTATTCTCTTATAATTTAGAACAGGGTCAATGATGACTAAAAGATATATTTAATTGTTTATATGTAAATAGTTATTTTAATATCTGTGTTCAGTTTTTATTTTTCTCTGAGTAATGTTACGGTGAAGCAAGCGTTATTTCTTTTACGTAGGTACTCACAAAAATGGTGTATGATTTCAAATTTGAGACTATAATTTAATTTTGAGAAAATGACGTTAGGTTCAAATTCATTTCCAAATTTATCTGCAGTTATAATTGTGACATGTAGCTCATGTGAGAGTCCTGCAGAAACTATGCGATAAAAATAATTTAGACTAGATTTCCTACTGACAAAACATTATGAATATGAGTTAATTTGTTTCTTCCTTCTCGTGTATTACAAAACTCCACAAGAAAGGGATTTCCTTGAGAAAATACTAGTCTCTCAGCTGTCTTTTACGGACCCCATTTTTCAACACTGTGTTCAGTGTTCAGAACAGCCCGCAGCTGTTCCCTAGCCTCAGCTTATGAATTCTCTGTACGCCTTCATTTCACTTTACGATCCACTGTACAGTTAATAGTTATATTGTGGTGTATAACACCGTGTAGCCCGTTGAAAGTCAACCGATGTTTCGGAGAAAAGTATCGTGCTTTCACATTGCATTTTTCTGGGCTTCTTCGACCCTGAAGATGGTGGTGATGCGTTCCTCCGAAATGTTTGTTGGCGTTCAACGGACTACACGACGTTAAACCCCATGAGGTAGTACTTTTCATAACCACTGCTGAGAGAACCTCAAATCCTACATTTTACTGTTATCGTCGTATGTGTCGGCTACCGGCCCTTGTTCGATCTCAGGTCAGACCATGTGGGATTTTTCTTGGAGAAAGTTGCACTGTGGCTGGTTTTCTTCGAGTAGCAAGAATTTTCTGCCTCGTGCTTGTTTCTTTGTTGGCTTACTCTCAGCATGAACATGGAGACGACTTGTTCCTCCGAAACGTCGGTTGTCTTCCTGCGGAAAGCACACCATTAAATCCCAGAAGACACCGGCAGTTAATAACCTAGAGAACCGGGATAACGCTACTGGCTGGACGACCGAGGGGTCGCAGCTCGACACCCGGTGGGACCAAGAATTTTCTCTTCTCCAGTCGTCCAGACCAGCTCTGGGGCCCACTCAGCTTCTTATCCAAAATATACCGGGGCTCTTTCCCCGGGGATAAAGCGGCCAGGGCGTGAAGCTGACCACACACCTCAAAATAATTCCGAGGTCAAGAAAATCTGGATCTGTACATCCACTCCCCCATACGCTTTCATGGCGTAGTGCTACACTAGTTAAGCACAGGGACAACTTTACCTTAACTTTAGTAGCTAATCGCACTAACTTCGCCGACAAGCGGCGGTCTCTCGGTCGATATAGTTCGCTTGGGGACTAAAGGCCACGGATTTTTTTAGTAGCTAATCTAGAAACCAGATATTTGGTCTACTAAGGAACTTCATGAGACGGGAGTAGCTATGGGCTGAAGAACTGAGGTTGAATTACCGGAGGGTGCGGAATCCTTTCTTACTGCCACGTTCAAATCGACTCTGTGGCACACCCAGCTTCCTGTCCAGTAGACTCGAGGGAATCGTTGTTAGATAAACCCGTCACGCTCTTCTGAAAGTAAAATTCGAGTACAGTTTTGTTTAGTGCAACAGTAACCTAACTACAATGAAGCTGAAGCTTTAGAAGCCAAGAGTTGGCAAATTGAGGTCACTTTTTATGGCTCAGTTGTTGCTCTTTGTAAGTCATAAATAAAACATGTTATGTGTGAACGGAATGTGAATTACTGTGCTTGAATGTATGGCCAGAGCGACGGTTTGCGGTAGCAATAACGTGTTCTCTCTGTTGGTAAGTCTCCCACGAAGCTAATGGGATTTCCGTTCTCTGTCAGTCCGCCTGCACACTGGATGCTGTTAGCTTATGGGATGCAGATTCTGCAGTGTACAGAATAACAAATGAATGTCAGGTGGAATGGGACGATCTACATTCTCTACAAATATGAATTTTATGTTCCTATGACAGGGCTTACCTCGCCTGAAGCCTTCAGTGGGCGTAGGCGGAGCACGATATACAGGAAGGCGCTCCTCGGAGCAGTGTTGTTAGCATTTGAGAGGAAGGAAGCACTCATAATTGATACTTTCGGCAAATATTATAAAGGTAATCAAGTAAAGGAGAATGAGATGGGGATGCCGTGTAGCACGTATATGGAAACAGAAGTGCATAAAGTTGAAGCTGAAAGTCCAGAAGGTAACATACCACTTCGCAGACCTGTTTGTAGAAGGGTGGATAGTTTTAAATTATCCTTAAAAGTTATTAAGAGGTAAAGGTAAAAGGTAAAGCTGTAAGAGGCTGTGGAGGCCCATAAGGTTGTGAAACGTCAAGGATCCCACATTATCTAGACCAGGGGTCGGCAAAGATTTTTCGTAAAGGGCCAAGTCAGGATATTCGGCTTCCACTTCTGACAGAAAATCACGGAACTGGCGATGGTTCAGCCCACGAGAACGAATGAAGTTCACCGTTGACACGACTGGTTCTAAAACACACGACAGATTAAGATATTTGCCACAAAGTACATGCTGGTGAATGATACAATGAATAACCATAGGCCTTGTACACCTTGCATTTTCACAAGCTGTGTAAATGCTTCCAACTAAGCCTTTACCTGTTCCAGACATATTTTTACCACCATCAGTTGTCACACATTTCAGCTGATTCCACTTCAGATTGTACTTCGTTAACATTTCCTCAACTTCCTTGAAAATGTCTTCGCCTGTAGTTGTTCCACGCAGACTATTCATAGAAGCTAATTCTTCAGTCACTTCAAAGTCAGCATTGACTCCTCGAATAAACAGCAGCAATTGAGCAGTATCTGTAATGTCTGTCGACTCATCAAGAGCTAAGGAAAACCACTCGAAATCATTTGCCTTGTTAATTAATTGGTTAGTGATGTTGCTACCAATGTCCTCAACTCTTCGGGCAACTGTTCTCGCGGAAAGGCTGATATTATTAAATAAATCCATTTTCTCTGGACACATTTCTTCAACTGCTACAATCAAACATGATTTAATTAACTCACCATCAGTAAAGGGTTTTCCTTCCTTGGCTAACAAATGAGCTACTCGTAGACTTACTTTACTTGCAGCCTTATTTTCATTTTCGTGAAGAAACTGTGTTGTAATGAAATACTCCGTTTCAAAGTTTCTAATTTTTGTGATCGTTCCTTCCCTGTGAGTTGGGAATACTGTGCCGAATGCTTAGTCTGGTAATGCCGACGTATATTGTACTCTTTTAGTACAGCTATAGTATCACTGCACAATAAACACAATGCTTTGCCATCTAATTCAGTAACAAAATAATTCTCACTCCACTCTGCCTTAAAAGCACGACATTCCAAGTCCACTTTTCTCTTCTTTTGTGGTTTCGACAGCGACATGATGGATATCCACTGGTATTAAAACGACACAGAACAGCGATACACGTGGCATTCGTAACACTGCGTGTCATCACAGCTGGGGCCATGAAGGAACGTGCGAATGGGAAGCTATAGGAGCGCCACACACGGCAATTCTCGCAACTCCTCAACTCAAGGTCGGCCGTTGGAGTGCGTAATCATCCATAGACAATATGTTCGAAAAAACGTAGGTTTCTTCCTATAAATAAAGCTTCATAGACGCAGAAATATTAAACTCATATTATAATAATTATCTTGTTTCATGAAATATTATCCCACTTTGACATTTTTAAGAGTTTGGAAATGTAAAATCTATTCTTAGCGCGCGGGCCGCAGAAAAAGCGGCGGCGGGCCGGAGTTGGCCCGCGGGCCGTAGTTTTCCGACCCCTGATCTAGACAATCGGCTCACAGATGGCGGTGAGATTGTCAGCCTTACGCAACCGCTGACCCTTACCCCCCAGGAAGATTCCTGGTACTCATTTCTGTTAGAGACTGAGTCGAACCCAAGGGCGATAGTGCGGCTGGAAGGATTAGGTCAATTGAAAAATCCTATGACCTCGTCGGGAATAGAAACCGCGACCTTGCGGTTTGTAGCATAGTGCCTCAACCAACTACGCTACCATGTGCGCAGTTATTAAAGTGTATAAAGGTAAAATATTACATATATTTGAATAATTAAACACCACGCTATGAAGACATATGGAGGAGTGGAAGTGTAGCTCTACCATTATTAACCTTGTCAATAGATGGACGTGAGTGGTCAAAGATGACAAACTCAAGGAATATAAGAATGGCAGGGCATGTAGCACGCATGGAAGATGTGCGAAATACGCACAAAATTTTGGTCAGGAAATCTCAGCCAGACGACTTGGTTATCGTAGAAAGTACAGTAGCTGAATTCTAAAGGACAGTTCATGCATTAGACAATAGAGCTATAAAATGTAATTTGAATATGTCTGTAAGTATGACAAAGTCAGTAGCTAAGACAGGAAAGATGGACGCGGTAACTGAAACAGTGATAAGTAATCATGTTATTGAAGTAAATAGTTTTAATTGCTTGGGATACAGAACTACAATAACGGACAACAAAAAAGAAACAAACTCCGTGGTTCTAGTCCGCAAGCGAACTATACCGACGGAGCGACCGCCGCTTGTCGGCGAAGTTAGTGCCAACTTTAGCGGATAGAGGGTGTCGCGTGGTCTGCGCAACGAATAACCACGGCCGTTAATTTCGGTTTTCTAGACCGGAGCCGCTATTTCTTTGAAATAGCTCCTCAATTATCCTCACGATGCTGAGTGAGCCCCGTTCCCGACCCACTACAAAAGACTACAGAGACTTAGAAATAAAAATGAATAGATTTAACTAAATGTGCAACACAATACGAAGAACATAGATTAACATGACAAGGATAGAGACACAGATAGAGTTCTATAAAGGTATGGCGATGTCGACACTTACACACGGATCCGAAATATGGATTTAACAAAAAGACTGGAAGCAAAAGTTGAAACTGCGGAAATGAAATTCTTGAGGGATGTAGCAGGCTGCACAAGAAAGGACCTAATAAATACTAAAATTAAGGAAGAACCAAATATTTTTAAGAGCACTTCTTGAGAAGCCGCCAATTGTGCAGCTACTCAGGAATATTTTTAATCTAAATATTAAAAATCTAAAGTCCGAATCATGGGGGACATATCACTTTCCACGAATGGAAGATAGGTGGATCCCGAAAAGAATTTTAATATGCAATCCAAAAAGGTGTAGCACAAGGAGCCCACAGTTAAGATGGAGGGACCAACGTAACTCTTCAAGAGGACGGAACAGACAAAGAATGGCCTAACCAATGAAGATGACGATAGTGTCGATTGTGAACCTGAACATTAGAAACCGCTTTGGAGACCTGGATGTAGATGGAAGGACAGTTTTAAACAATCACAAAATATTATTAGAATAATAAAAACAAAGATGTTGAATGTGCAGAACATATAACAGGCGAAATGCATACAAGTTTCTAGGGAGAAGACCTAACAGTAAGAAACCATTTGGGATTCCTAGATATAAATAAGAGAATAATTTTTGAAGTGCATCATAAAGAAATACGTTTCGACTGCATGGACTGGATTCAACAGGCTCGGGATAGAGTGTCACAATGGCGGTCTCTCGAAAGCGCTAAATGTTAATACTACAGTGGGTATTAGCTTCTCAACAAGGACTCTCTTCCATGGAGACTTCTGTGATTACACTGTTATGATTTTGGCCAGGATAATGACAACCCTGAGGTGTCGTTGCTTGTACCAGTCCCTCTAAGCGATTAGAAGCCGGGCTACGGGCTGGAGGTCTTGAGTTTCTTTCCCGTAGGGGAAAGATATTTTTCTCTCCTGCATAGCGTCCAGACCAGTTTTGGGCCACACTTGGCCTCCTATACAACGGGTACAGCAATAAGGCGGTCAGTCAGTGAAGCTGACCACTCACCACCATCTAGTGCCGAGATCAAGAATGGTGGAGCTATACCTCCACTCTCTCATAAGTCTTTCTGGCGTGGTGCTTGATTAATTAATCACAGGGTCATCTCCATCTTTTGCTTTCTTTCACCTTGTAAACGAATTCCGGAATGGTAGAATGTCCCATGATTTTATGTAGCGCAGAATTCGGACACCAGCAGAGCCACTGAGTGCACTGTAGCTAGCTGCAATGGGTGCGTGGCACGTGAACTGGAGTGTTGGTGCTCTGATTAAAAGAAGTAAAGACAAGTTACAAAAAGGTATCGTCACGTGCATTACTGACTAAGACACGGGTTTGGATTGGCAATCGATTTATTGGATAACTACCAGTCGTAACTACAGAGAATTGTAACACTCCAAATTATAACTGGAACAATAATACATGAAGTCTTCAACACTTCAATTCTAATCTTCATTTGTAGCCTCCGGAAATCTACTGTTTGGTTCTGTCTGTCAGCCCGTTATTTTCGCTACTCTTGCTGTAGCATAGTTGATTGAGAAGCTATGCTACAAGCCGGAAGGTCGCGGGTTCAGGTCCTGATGAGGTCATTGGATTTTTTCAATTGACCTAATCCTTCCAGCCGCATTATGGCCCTGGGGTTGACTCAGCCTCTAACAGAAATGAGTACCAGGAATTAATTAAATAATTTACCTGGGGAGTAAAGCGCGGCCGGCGCGTAAGGCTGACAACCTTGCCTAGATAATGTGGGACCCTCAACGTCTCACAACCCTATGGGCCTTCACGGCCTGTTACAGGGACAGCTTTACTTTACTTTTACCTTTTTACTCTTATAATCTTCTCTTGGACCGTGTAGAAGTCACAACTGCACCGCACTCCCCACTAGCTTCTCAAATGCTTTGAACTCTACAATTAACTCGACTGCTGAACTGCTGGTGTTCAGTCAATTAATTAATGATTCAACTTAATGTCACATTGCGACTGAAGGTCAGTCGGTCAGTCAGTAAGTCTTGATGTCGAGCCCCATGTGGGGCTCATGATCAGATATTTATTATTGTTTGACAACTACTGTCTTGTTTTTGTGGGACGCCCTCTCTGACGAGAGGCCGGGCCTGTGTTTTCTACACGCTGCTGGTCCTTGGCAGCGCAGTCTTTCTCGGGTCCGAGTCCCTTGGTACTCGTGACCATATTTTACTGTCTCAGATTTTGGACTTCCCTTTTCGTCGCATCCTACAACTCGCAGGGTCAAGGAGGAGATATTCTACCCCGCCTCCACACGGGGGACTGCTTGTGTTATTCTGTAAACCTCGTTATATTGCCTCCGCATGGATCACATAGTAAACATGGCTTCTGTTGTTGACGAAACTTGTTTGCTGTTTGTTGCCTAGCAATAGACGTCTGATATTGTCGTAATGCACCCAGTGGATGGTTGTTTACAGGTCCGATTACTGGCAGTGGAAAGTCTTTTACCTTTTGTTATCCGAGAATTCTTCTTCGCGGGAACTTGTTTACGTAGCTGTTACCTAGCAACCGATATACATATTACAGTATTACTACATATAAAAACTACAAAAATGTCATAGAATTGTCATACGGCTCAATGAATTTTGATGTATGCACCGCGTGCAGCCCTCTAAGCGTCAAATCAATATTAGCTTCACTCCATTCGCTTGCAAGCCGTCCTGGCTTGTCCACTTCAGTAGCTGTGCAGATTTTTCTCTCTTAAAAGACTTTGATCTCACATATTTTCGAAGTTGACTTAGGCGGCAATGCAGTTTCTCAACTTCTGCCTATGCATTTATTCGGAAACTTCGTCAACTCGTACATGATTACTGAGGAGGGGGGGAAAGCTTTGCGCCCGTAGTGGGGCAACAGAGTGTTGGAACATTTACTGGTTTATGTCTTAATATTTTCACAATATTATTGCCATTCAGAATCATATAATTCTTTTACGAAAACTCTAAACATTAGCGTAAGAATCAAAGTTGGTTTCATGACTGCATTTCCGTTTGTATGTTTACTTCTTTTTGTGCTATTGATAAAAAACATTCAGACAGGTAAAATTTCTCACTGTAACTCGGACCATCGAATGATTTAATGATTGATTAATGGACTAGGAAGGAAATAGTCACGGGCCTGGTTTAAGGCGCTGTACCGGCCTGTATGTGGAAGAACTCGGGAAAACCACAAAGAAATTGCTTCATTGTGAAATCTGTTGTTCTCACGACGGTGGCTATTAAAGTTTGCTGTCGTCTGGGATGTGACACCTTACCGTCTGATACAAGTTTATTGACGTTTATAAAAAACAATTCTGCAAAGAATTTCAGGATAAAAGAGAAAATTTACGCTGAAGATGGAGCCAGTGCTTGCCTCCGAAACGTCTATCGGATTATCTGATGCAACATCGTTGAAGACAGTATCCAATTCTCATTGTTGAATTTCCTGATCGTTTGTAGAATAGAAATAAAAGTACCTCGTAGAGGACATGGCGTTTGAATGTTACAGTATAGGATGGTTAATATTCAAGAAGAATATATGCAAACTGACTTTGCCGATACTGTGCAACAACTGACCATGTTTCGAATTTACTTTCTTTGGTTTTCTAAAAAACAGTTTCGCC